ATGTGTAAATGGTTTTTGATCTTCTTTTCATACCTGTTATTTTGTATTTAACACACATGAATATAAAAAATGTACGAGTATATAAACAGAACAAGCGTTCCGGAACAAAATATTATTCTGCTATTTTAAGTAGGGTTTTATCCATTTAGCATTGATTTTGTGTACGGGTCATTGGCTTGTATATATGGCAATTAATTACCATATTTACATCATTTGTATCATTTTATGAAGATTAAACAATAATTTTTGCTGCAGGTATATAGATGGATTCATACAATTTAAAAATTATCCATATTTATAGTATATTTATATTATCCATAATTAATAGTTTATAATAATATGATTTTTAAAATGTGACAGCCCAATAAGTATTTATTATACAATATTAGATCTACAGTCAATATTGACAAAGTGTGAATCAAGATAAAACCCTGATGGTTGTTAACTGCGGTAATTAGCGGACATTGTTAACTGTCCTAAATCAGATATCATCTCATTTATATACCGGTAGTATTTGAAGATTAGATTTGCTGATGATGCAGTATGCTTCATGTAGACTCTATATATCATTAATTGTAATCTGTATGTCAGAAATTTCAATTAAAAACCCTGTAAAATCAAGTTTGTGTGTTTATTATAATTTCTATGTTGTAATATCAATGTCAGGCGATCAAAGTATTTACTTAATAACCTCAAATATTTATATCCTACCCTAGTTACAAAGCGCATTCCACTTATCTAAATGTGTCGATAAAGTACTACATGTACTTCTAAATTAACGGTAATCAATAATAAACAAGAGCACCGCTAGGCGGAGCATTATATGCCCGAAAGTGTTTTTTTTTTTTAGTAAAGATGAAGCATTTGTAAGACATGGGACTAAAATAAAGTATTACCTCCTTCAAATAACAATCCTCCTTTGCAGTTTCAATATTGTGGTCCAAATGGAACTTTTAAGTTATGTCCCAGAAAACTGTTTTCAATTACTAAGGTAAAAGTGACCTTGACCCTTTGACCTTGTGACCCCAAAATCATGAGGGGTCTTTAACCCAATATGGACAATCATACTATGAAAGTTTAAACACAGTAGGCCAAAAATGATACTTAAGTTATATTCGAAAACTGTTTTCAGTTTTTAAGGTAATAGTGGCATTGACCTTGTGACCCCAAAATCAATAGGGGTCTTCTACCCAATATGGACAATCATCCTATGAAGTTTGAATATTGTGGGCTAAATGGAACAAAAATTATGCTCAAAAAAACTGTTTTCAATTTCTAAGTAATAGTGACCTTGACCTTTGACCTTGTGACCCCAAAATCAATAGGGGTCTTCTACCCAATATGGACAAATAATCCTATGAAGTTTGAAACACTGTGGGCCAAATAGAACTTAAGTTTATGCTCCGGAAACTGTTTTCAGTTCTAAGGTAATAGTGACCTTGACCTTTTTGACCTTGTGAACCCAAAATCAAATAGGGGTCTTCTACCCAATATCGTCAATCATCCTATGAAGTTTGAACACTGTGTGCCAAATGGAACTTAAGTTATGCTCCGGAAACTGTTTTCAGTTTTAAGGTCATAGTGACCTTGACCTTTGACCTGTGACCCTAAAATCTAAAGGGGTCTTCTACCAAATATGGACAATCATCCTATGAAGTTTGAACACTGTAGGACAAATGGAACTTAAGTTATGCTCCGGAAACTGTTTTCAGTTTTTAAGGTCATAGTGACCATGACCTTTGACCTTGTGACCCCAAAATCAATAGGGGTCTTCTACCAAATATGGACAATCATCCTATGATGTTTGAACACTGTGGGCCAAATGGAACTTAAGTTTATGCTCCGGAAACTGTTTCAGTTTTAAGGTCATAGTGACCTTGACCTTTTGACCTTATGACCCCAAAGTCAATAGGGGTCTTCTACCCAATATGGACAATCATCCTATGAAGTTTGAATATTGTGGGCCAAATGGAACTTAAGTTCTGCTCCGGAAACCAAATTGCTAACGTTTTCAGTTTTAAGGTTCATAGTGACCTTGACTTTGACCTTATGACCCCAAAATCAATAGAGGTCTTCTACTCAAATATGGACAATCATCCTATGAAGTTTGAATATTGTGGGCCAAATGGAACTTAAGTTATGCTCCGGAAACCAAATTGCTAACGGACGGACGGACGGACGGACAGACGGACGGACAGACAGACGGACGGACGCCAGGGGGTATAACATAATATGTCCGAAATTCTTTCGGGCATATAAAAAATGCATCTTGAAAGGTAGAAATATTTGACAATTTAGGATCATCAAATATTATTGAGTATATATACTGTAGGTTATTTATAATACATATATTAAAGACTACAGTATTTATACATTACTTAAAATACATATTTTACAGTAAAATTGTTTGAACCATGTGATTTATAAATTTTAGCCTCCAAGAACAAATATTTATTTGGTACTGAAGTATGAAGAGGCATGGAGGATTAACAATAAAGTTAACAACAACAACAATCTCTGAACATAATTCACTTAGAGGCTCTGCTTTATAATATAAAACATAGTAAACAATGGAGTTAATAAACAGAGAAAATGTAAACATATGTTAAATATAAACATATTGTACTTGCACAATCATTTGAGAGAAGTGACTACATTTTTGTCATTGACATTGTTTTCATTTTACAAAATTATTTCACTTACATAATACATTTTATTAAAAGATACTCAAACAAAAACAGATGTTAATTAGCAGTTTATATCCTTGGTTTCTAAAAATATACCAAATTATATCTGTAAATGCAGATCTAATCTACCTTACTTACAGATGTTTATTTCTTAAAATTTTACTCGAAATTATCTTTTATTTTTACATTTAATTCTAATATTATCCTGATTTGCAACTTGTTATAAAAAATCAGCTTATATCAGATTATAAAATCAGAATCATCTATAAATTGAGCATATTTAAATCAAACATTTCATTTAAAAACCCAACTACAGAGGAAATTGTACCATTCTAAAGGTTTTCACAGGTGGATAATCATCAAAGGGTCAATTATGTTTAAGTCACTGCTAATATTTGTCTTTAAAACAGCTAAAAATCTTTCACATGAAATTGGCCGGAGACAAAACAGAAGATAATATGATAAAATTTTCCTTCACTTGTGTGTCAATAGTTGTTAGCAAGTTTGGATAAGCAGCAAAACAAGTCACACAACATAAAACTAGGTTCTTTTCTGCCAATATTACATTGAAACATATGAACAATGGGCCATAATTCTACCAAAACTGATAAAAAAAAAAATCCCCAATATTTTTCATCAGGCAAAAAATTCTCTAAAAGTTTTGATGTAGGTAGGAGTATAAAAATAATCCTTGATGCCGCCTGCCCTGAGCAGCCAACCTGCCAACATACACACACGGGACAGTATAACAGACTATGGCAAAGCTTTAACAACCCCCAACCCTAAGTGGTGAAGGCATAAAAACCATCTCCTAATGGTTTGAGAAAAAAAGAATAAATTATGATAAAACATAATTATTTCTGCTATTTCCCAATAATCTAATATAGCTGTTGTGTGTTTTGTACGATAAAGTTACCATCAGACTGTACAATTATCCACTTGTATGTATTCTTATTTAAATAAAACAATAATATTTTATACATCCAGCACATTTAATTCTTAAATATCTAAGATAGTGGAATTATACTGAAATATGATACATGCATTTTATATCAAACATACATAAGTCTGAATCTATAAAGTCTTTAATGTGCTGAATAGGCTGTATTATGATCCTGTATAAAACTGCCATGAAGTTTTTACCAACTGGTATTGATTGACAGAAATCAATTTTGTGTTACATACAGTCAGTGTCAATACTTACGATGTTTGGATGATGTTTAAGGGTTTTGGGTTGTAGAGTGGAATGGGGGTATAGTGTAAGTCATCGCCACACGCCGGACACCTGTGGTCAATGCAAGTAAATTGTTGATATACAGAATAATTAATGCTGATACTGTTACAATATAAACATACATGTTAACATCTGTTTTGTCTACAAAAGCCTAATTAGTCTGGCTATTCATTAAACAAACTTGGTGGAATATTTTAAGTTTCATTAATCACTTTAAAAATTGCAATGGAAGGAGTTCATTAATTTCTTTCATCATGAAGGTATTTAAAGTCTAGTTGACAATCAACTAACAGTTTTTTCATGTTTCACTGACCTGGCATAGTGATGCACTATAATGATACACTCATTTATATCTTATTTTAAAGGTCAATACATGAACTAAACACAGCTACATTACATCAAGCATATCTCAGTTATGGTGACAAATTGTACATGTACATAAGATTACAGTTTACCAGTCTAGATGAAGAGAAACTAGACAAAATCAATAAATCAGCCAGGGTCATGAACTATCAAGTCCAGACTATATCCAGAGCAATCGCACATTTAGTATTGGCTTACTCTCGCCAGAGAAAAAATGGCTATGGATTCTTTACCCTTTATAGATATAATTACAGATATAGATTTGTCTTCACATTCACAGCATCTATTTTTTAATATAAGAAACTTGGTATCTCATAAAATATTACTACATCTTACATTGTTAGATTAAAAAAACATGACACTTGACAGCTATAAAATAATATTCTAGGTAATAATATTCTTTGAGAGTTATAACAAACCCTGTAACTGTATACAATTGTTCATTATTATGAAATCTTAATATTCAGCATTGAATTCCTGGATAATTCAGAGTGGAAAATGCAATAGTTCATTTAATAAACAGTATATCGAGCTTCATACTGGAAGCTATACAATGCTAGAAAATGTCTTGAAAGATTTTTACACAAACATATATCCATCTCAGCAAAGACTAATTTCCTTCTTAAATCAATAATTTTGTAGACGTTCATTTTCTGTCTATATACAGGCATTAAGAAGTCATAAAATGTAAAATAAAGGAATGCTGCGCTGAATATTGTTTATAATTTTCCATTTTCAATTATGATATTTTCATTTACAGGATAAAATTAAGTGATATTTGTTTTATCTGACAACTTTGGGTAAATACCATCTTTAAACTCCTCAATAAAAGGATCTAAAATAAATTTCAACCACTGATCAAATGTGGAATTGGATTCAAAGTTTGAAGTGTTTTTTGTTAGTTCATTTTTTCATCCTAATTTACACTGGATTCATCTAGAACTTCTTCATTGTTTATCGTAACTGACTGGGTGTTTCCAATCTTTGTATCTTCTTCGTCCTTGTTAAAAGTCTCTTTAGATTTAAGGTCTAAATTTTCATTTTCACTGTAAACATTATTCTGAATATCACCTGACGGTTTAGTTCTTAATTCTTCATCTGGTCTTGGATCTGTCTCTTTCCTCCTATCAATATTTGGTTCAACACTGTCATCAGAAGCAGATTCTTGGTTATTCAAAGATTGACTTGGAATTGAGACAACTTTACTGCAAACCTCTTTTTCTTTATCACAGAATTCACTTCTTTCCACATTTTTGATGTCTTTATTGAGTTGATTTTCAAAGCCTAAGACTTCATTCCTTTGGGTTATGCTTAGAACTTCATCATTTGAATCTTCTTTGTTGCTTGTTTCAACTGTCTTCAGTATATTATCAGTTTCTTCTTGACTTCTTGCATTTGAAATCAACAGCAAAAGTATACCTAAAATATACATATCATATATAACCAACAAATAATGCTCATTATGTTAATACAAACAAATTTCAACATATAAAAGGGTTTTATGTTGTAGAGGGGGAATGGAGATAATAGTGAAGAAGCTAGATTCTGACCCAGAACAAAAACATCTCAGAATCTAGCATTAGCACATCAATATATTTTGACTCACATGATCCTTCAGGCCAAATTTGAAAGAAAAGATTACAAAATTGTGGAAAAAAACAACAACATATCTTGTGCAATTAAATTTTAAAACTTTTATGACAGATGGTGAATTTGGTATCATTTTACCAATGCTTATGACACAAACAGATCAGAGAAAATTATGTTTAATTATAACTATACCAACTAATAGATCTATCATTTGTCTTGTACGGGATGTAACTCTTCAAGCCCAAACTCCAATCTACTACGCAGTGATCTCCCCTTATCAGTACAGGCAGAGTACTGATAAGGGGAGATCACTACGTAGGGTGATTCAATAGGCAGGTATATGAAAATGTGTTTTTAATGAATAAAGAATTGAATTAAATTGAATTGCATTGAGTTTTAACTTAGTGTTACGTTCAATGTATGCGAATGGTTTGAATAAAAAAATGTGATATTTGTTTATTTTTTTTTAATAACTCAGACATGATGTTTTGAAGGTAGAGGTCTACTGGAAACTTTTGATACTGTATTTCTCTGTCATTGTAATTCTTTCTTGTTTGTGTGTAGGAGGTGAAAAAGGTTAAAAATCAAGCTTTGACAGTTGGAGCCGAACAAGTAAGAAACTTTGAATATCTTAACGTATGACCGATAGTTAGTTGGACATTTTTGAAAATGCTGTTCAGTTGATTGCACAGTGTGTGTAATATACTGTTAGTGATATTTTTTCTGGAGTATCCTGCACCTTCATGAAAATGACCGCCCATATTAGTATATTTTGAGTGTGATTTTTGTTGGATGGGGTAAATATAAATTGCTGTAAGTCATTATTGTTAGGTAAGCGATTACCATTATTGTTAGGGGCTATGCATGCAAACTATTATTTTCTTCACTATATCGAATAATGCTGTGCAACTGGTTATCTGTCTGTGAAACAGATTTTGAAAGATGGAATTGTGTTTCTGGTCACACTGAACTTCGTTGACCATGAGACACAGACGCTAGGAGTGGCGGGAAAATATGGGCATGCGCAGTACAGTAACCCAGATATTTTTTAAGTCGTTACATAGTACAGACGACAGAACTTACACATATAATGGAACGTTGGGTAGGCCGTGTAGCGCTAGTAACAGGCGCATCATCTGGGATAGGGAAAGCTATCGCACAGTCATTAGTTTGTCATGGAATGAAAGTTGTAGGATGTGCTAGAAATGTAGAAGCTGTTGAGGTAAACACTAAATTATCACTGTTGTACAAGATGTACGCGGTAAACATCATAAGAACGCTTTGTTCAATTGAAGTGAGTAAAAAGTGTTGTTGGCGACGCCGGTGAGCGGCGTCGTCTTATATGGAATGCTTTTTATTTTTGCCTATGGAAGGAGCTGTTATTATTAGCAGTTAATTTCATGTTGTGTTAATTATATTTATTTTGATTCATAAAAATCAAGTAAACAAATATGTTGTTATATTTGTATTTACTAACTTTATATAAAAAGCATGTGCATTGGGATATTATTTTCACGAAATTGCAGGCTCTGATTAACAGCTTGTCCCTTTGTTTTATTGACAATACTAAAACCCGGATTTCGAATATCGTTGTGGTCTACATTGATGCTCATTCATTTATATATTTTCAAAACTTTCCTACAAGAAGAAAGTTCACCTGCAAATGAGTATTAGGATAGGTAATGGACTGTTGTAAACGATTATCCTATTGATTTTATCCATATTACGTTTATCTGTTGAACAGAATGGTTGTTTTTACAAAGTGTACCAGTATCCGGACGTTGACAGCTATCCGATTTTCTGCAATTACTGCTGTCACATGGCCATCTACTTTTTTATGAATACTTTATCATTAATTTGCATGGCATAATTAAAATGAGCCTGCAACATTTCTTAATTTTGATGTTTAGGGTGTTCTTTTGGGTTTCATGTTTTCTTTATTTCAAGGGGAAGTAACTCATGTTTACTAAATTATTTGTTCTTTTCTGTCTATCTTAGGTATTACTTACAATTTTTGTTTTATAAAATTTACCAGTTGTAAGGTCATCAAAAGCATAGAGGCCCTGATGAGTGAATATTGATATATATATACTTTTACTGGCTTTATATACCCAATATTTCATATTTATTTAATAGAAACTTGGAATTATTAATGTTATGTGCATACATTTATATCTTAGTATATTGGTATGATGAGACTTATAATATTTCTGAATTTAAAGAGTTGCAGTTATGTCATTATTATTAAAGGGATGAGACTTTCATTTAAAGTTATAAATGATAATACATGTATTGATTGAAAATGTCCTGAAACTTGGATCAAGCAATATAATTGATAAAGCCTCAAAAAATCATGTTCTGAATAGTTATTCTAATTTTTTTCTAACATGTGCATAGTTTGAAAAGGACAGCTTCTGTCTTATCTATTTGTAATGGAGTGACACCGGTCTTTACCTCCAGGTCTCCTGAGTCAACCCGACAACAGACTTTTCATAGAGTAGATTGATACTTGTCCTTGAATAAATTTGTACACTAAATTTTATAGTGGGTGATTTGTGCCACATGAAAACCAACAAAGTACAAAAAGTAACCGGGCGCCAGATGAAAACATGAAAATACAATCTACCACAAAGTGGTTCGTTTGTTGCATTTTCATGTTTTCGCCCGGTGCCCTTGATGTAAAATACAAATCAGCCTTCATAAAATTTCTTATCATAGATATTGTACATGTATTAGCACAGTTATATTCACTTTCAAATTGACCTGTTATAAATAATGGCACAACCAATAACTGTCTTAGCCCTTTTTAGTAAAAATAATTATACAATAATAATTATATAAATTGTTATTTTAATTAAGACTATGAGTATGTAAGGTTTTTTTTTCTTATTTATTAATTAAAAATTAATTATCTGTTAATTTAAAAATCTAAATATCTGTCACGGTTTAGAACTGTTCACTATTTAGGGGAGAAAATGTGTAAGTGGCCAGATTATGAGCTCAATCGCTACAGCCGCGGTACATTATTCTGTGGGTCACAGGTTTGAGTTCTGGTCAAGCTGAAAGTTTTTCTCATCCTGTTACTGCAAATAACCATTAGTTTAATTTACTATGCTCTGTAAACATCAGAAATTCAAGTACATGAATCAATATAGTGGGGAAAAAGGTTTAGGTTTAGAACTGTTTCATTATTAAAGAGAAAAAAAAAATGTGTAGCCGGCCGGATAGCTCAGTTGGTCTTCTGAAAGTCATGGGTTCGAGTCATGGTCAGGCAGTTTCAGTCAGGGTTTAGAAGTGGTTTTTCAACTGACACATGTTTGATTCATTTAATAGATTGCATTTAATTTGAAATGGACAAAGGCAGTATTGCGTGATACTTTTAAATCTACAAAAAGCATTTGGTACAGTTGATCACACTTTACTGCACATGAAGAAGTTCTTTTTTCTTCTTCTTCATGGAACTTCAAGCATCTGCCATATGTAATGACATTCTTGCATGGTTCAAGTCTTATCTCTGATAGCAGCTGGTGAATGTGACTGGTACTCATTCTCTCTGAATACCTATGGTGTCCCCCTGATGTTCATTTTAGGTCCTCTTTTATGTCTAATATATGTCAATGACATGTCTGCGACCCTAAGCAATAAGCTTTTATTATATGCACAGGCACAAGTATCAGACCTGGGAAGAAAAAATATTACCAGATTGATAAAAAACCTGTGTTCATCTTAAAAGTGTCACAAACCAAAAAAAAAAAAATGTAAATGATGACCCCCTTTAAAAATATACTTAAAGTAAATAGTATATCTTTAAAGGGGGTCATTATTTACATTTTTTTTTTTTGGTTTTTGACACTTTTAAGATGAACACAGATTTTTTATTAATCTGGTCATATTTTTTCTTCCCAGGTGTGATACTTGTGCCTGTCATTATATGATGATGACTCAGGTATCCTTGTATCTGGTAAAGTAAATCTTAAGATTGGTTTATTGACTATAAATTGTCTTTGCATCTTGGCAAGACAGAGTCTATTCTTTTTGGTTTAAGTTTCAACATAAACTGGGCCAAGCCTCCAGGTCACATGAAATGGTACTGCTATAAAGTACACATCTTTTGTTAAGTATTTAGGTGCAAACCTGGATCAAATTCTTTTGGCGTCGCCCTTTGATGCTTTGCATCAATGCTTTTCTTGTTCTAGTTTGTAACAATTTTTATTAAGCTGCACATGTAAATTATACAATCTAACTAAAGATCAATCTACTTAGATCTACTTTATTTCTTACGTGTTACGGTGTAGACATTCTAGCAAATTATATATAGGTGTTTGTTCCGATTGGTCAATGAATTAATTCAATCGATGAACAGTCTTAAGAAAACAAATATGAAATAATGTTCATATTCAGTCAGTAGCATTCCATTCATCTTCCACCTCGAGAACTAATAGAGGTTTTCACTTATGGATTAGCAGAATGTCGGTAAAGTTCCCGTCCTGTTGTTTTATTTTGGCGCCAAATCAAAATAACTGCTGGCAGTGGACAGGCTGGAGCGGCTTCGATTTTGAAAGTAAAATCACTGACGTCACGTAATAAAACAAATACATACATTGTATTGTTAATAAACAGGAGCTGTCGGAGAAGTTAAAGGCAGAGAAAGGATCATTGATACCAATAGTGTGTGATGTTTCTAAAGAAGAACAAGTATTGTCAATGTTTGAAAAGGTAGGCTGTACTTAATTTTAGGGTTTCCATTTCGCATTTCACTCTGACAACGTTTAGTCTCTTTGTTGCATAATTGCTTGATTAGGACATAAACATTTTGTATATATTCTTAACGAAGATCAGCAAATATATGTGCTCCTCCCAAAGGTTCTGATTAGGCTAGATGGGTAAATTTTTATTCTGATGTCTTTAACGCAATATGGATACTATTAAAGTGTTCCTTAGACTGGACGATGGCAACGTTATGAGTCCTGCGGTTAAATAAAACTACATGTATTGATATTTGATTGACTACAGCCTGTAGTCAATCAAATATCAATACATGTAGTTTTATTACAGGAGTCTATCTATTTCCTGTCTTTAATTCACTGACAATTCTATATCCGTAACTAGTATTACTCATATGTCTGAATTTGAACGGGACTTAGGTAATGTCACAATCCTGTTTCTAAAGTATAAGTGTTAAATAATGAGTGTTGGTCATATTGTAATATCTTGCTTTCAGGTGAATTAGAATGTGCGTGTGCTGTAACTAATAATGCCTTTTATACTTACGTTGCTATTGTTGCAATGTATGAGGCTACACAACTCATTCTCTTTAAATTGTTTCTTCAAACAAACGTTGTTACAATAAATTTGTGCATTTGCATTTAGGAGATTAATTATTTATGTAACATCTGCTTTTAATTGTTTTCAACAAAATATACTAGAAATATATACGTATTTGTTGAGCAGAAAATAATTTTACAATACATGCATATATCAAAGAACAAGATACAGATTCTTATTTCAGGAACACGTTCTATTAGGTATGTTCTCATAGAAAATACAACTGTAAACTTCTTCTTACATTTGTTGTTTTTTTTTTATTGCAATTCCGTTATTTTCTTATAGATCAAATCCGAGTTTGGTGGTACAGACGTGTGTATAAATAACGCTGGTCTGTCCCAAGCTGCACCGTTATTATCAGGTAAAACTGAACAGTGGAAAAATATGCTTGATGTAAGTACTTTATCATTGTACAGATTATTTAATACATGTCGCCCGGCCGTGACCCTGTTTTACTTACATTTACATGTACATGAATATCACATGTACAAACAATAATAAATTTAGTCGAACGGTTAAACACAGTGTACAATTTTGACATAACATTGGCGCCTCTTTGAATTAATGAACTGCTGTTTAAAAAAACTTGAATGCATCGTCGAAAAAGTATTTTTGCATAATATCATTAATTTTATGCCTTTGTTTTATTATGTCTTTGAACATACTAAGTTGAATATTCATTTTTTTCTAGGTAAATGTTCTTGGCCTATGCATGTGTACACGTGAGGCAGTCAAGTCGATGAGAGAAAGAGGTGTAGATGACGGACATGTTATACAAATAAATAGGTAATATAAGTAGTTTTCTCATGAAAATAGTTTATTAAACAATTGATTAAACAACATTGCCCTTACCATCTCAAATAAACAATAAATGATTTAAATTTAACTTCTGTTATAATATTTTGCAGAGATTGAGTCTAGCGAACAATCTGGCGCGTCAAATCTATGTTTCTTGCTGTTTCCAAAGAAAGTCGAAGCCTTTTTTTATACGTAACATATTTTTGTCAAAATTGTATTGTACTTCATGATAAATTTAACAGTTATTCAAGCATCATTCACTTTTCTCATAATTTAATTATTCAATGACTGAATCTGACTAAAGTTCAGATCTACTTAAGAAATTTCTTGCATGTAGCGGAGCGTGAATTTGTAGCTGATTTTAATCAGATTGCCAATGACATGTCGTCAAACCGGAATGGTTTGACATACATTTTCTATTTCTGTTTTCAATCAGTTTTCAAGACTTCTTTTTTAGCGGAGTTGGTCATAAACAGTATGCTTCAAATCCAGACGGACATTTTTACAGTGCCACCAAGTTTGCTGTTACTGCTCTTGTGGATGGATTAAGGAATGAATTGTCACTTTCAAAAACACATATTAGAGTGACCGTAATGTTATTAACTCACTTACTCTACTCATTTATAATGAGTCTTCCATAACATTTTTTGAAGAAAAATATAGATACATAAAAGGATCACGGCATTTACTTGTTGCAAAATTTGGCACATTGTATAATTATATACATACACAATCACACATCAAAATGTGGTCTAAAATGAAAGTTACGTTCTTTATTATGTTTACAAATGACAGGATGACAAACGCCATTTTTATTTGATTATGTATATTCTAGGCTGTTTAGTAATATATATATTTTACATTTGTGGTCTACAAATGCACATTACAAAATTTATATTTGCAATAGTAAGGCCTGACTGGTGACTGAGTTAGGCAAAGGAAGCTGCAGTCTAGTAAAACAGTACGAGATCAAAATATTATATCGTCACTTTAGTGCAGTAACGGGTTAAGTCCTTCTAAATTTAATAGAAGATAACTAGTTATTGCACTAAGGTGAAGCTAGGCTATTCTGGTTTAATTTATAAACATGTCAGCGTCTGCAATATTTTAAATGACTGCATCATATATCCCTTTCATGGCCTGTGAAAGTCTTATTTAGGGCATGCTGTGTAATGGGTTATTTGATTTTTATATACTTATATTTAAATAATGAAATAGATCTACTAGTAAAAAACAAAACAATCCTTTTGTTGTGGATAAATATTATATTGTATAAATTAATTACAGAGCATCAGTCCTGGTTTGACGGAGACAAACTTTGCTCACAGGATGTATGTTCATGACCCTCAGGTTGCAGTCAAGAAATACAGTGCTTTTGAGGTGTGTCTTCAAATATTTGATAGGCCATGTTTTTCATTCACCTATTTGCAGTTAATTTGATGACCTTAAACAGTTTACATTACTTTTACATTGTACATGTTGTAATGGAATTTTTCATGTTCCACCCCATGTTTTATTTTATGTCTTGCTCTTACATGCATAATTGGCCACACTATTAAACTGCATTAGATCTTATCATATTAATGTGACTTAAGTGAACAAACTTGAAATAAACTTCTGTAGATGTGATAATCATTTTCTAGGGAATGTTTACAGTATATTTTAATTTTATTTCATGCATATTAATCAGTTGTATCAGCCTAAACTTTGCCTAAGTACAAACTGTGTTTTCTGTTATATGACTGTATCTCCCTTTTTTAGCTCACCTGTCACAAAGTGACAGGTTGAGCTTTTGTGATCGCTTTTCGTCCGGCGTCCGTCCGTCGTCCGTCCGTCCGTAAACTTTCACTTTAAATGACATCTCCTCATAAACCACTAAGCCAATTTCATCCAAACTTCACAGGAATGTTCCTTTGGTGGTCACCTTTAAAAATTGTTCAAAGAATTTAATTCCATGCAGAACTCTGGTTGCCATGGCAACCGAAAGAAAAAACTTTAAATATCTTCTTTAAAAAAACCATAAGAGCTGGAGCTTAGATATTTGGCATGAAACATCTTCTAGTGAGTGTCTACCAAGTTTGTTCAAATAAAAGCCCGGGGTCAAAATTGGCCCCGCCCCGGGTGGTCATTGATTTTCCCTATATGCATATAGTAAAAACTTAAAAAATCTTCTTTTAAAGAACTCAAAGAGCTAGAGCTTAGATATTTGGCATGAAACATCTTCTAGTGAGTGTCTACCAAGTTTGTTCAAATAAAAGCCCTGGGGTCAAAATTGGCCCCGCCCCAGGGGGTCATTGATTTTCCCTATATGCATATAGTAAAAACTTAAAAAAATCTTCTTTTAAAGAACCCAAAGAGAAAGAGCTAAGATATTTAGCATGAAACATGTTCTAATGGGTGTCTACCAAGTTTGTTCAAATAAAAGCCCTGGGGTCAAAATTGGCCCCGCCCCGGGGGGTCATTGATTTTCCCTATATGCATGTAGTAAAAACTTAAAAAATCTTCTTTTAAAGAACTCAAAGAGCTATGGCTAAGATATTGAGCATTAAACATGTTCTAATAGGTGTCTACCAAGTTTGTTCAAATAAAAGCCCTGGGGTCAAAATTGGCACTGCCACGGGGGTCATTGATTTTCCTTATATGTGTATAGCAAAAACTTAAAAAATCTTCTTTGAAAAAACCCAAATAGCTAGAGTTAAGATATTAAGCATGAAACATCTTTTAGTGAATGTTTACAAAGTTTGTTCAAATAAAAGACCTGGGGTCAAAATTGGCCCCGCCCCGGGGTTCATTGATTTTCTTTATATGTGTTAAGCAAAAACTTTAAATCTTCTTTGAAAAAACCCAAATAGCTAGAGTTTAGATATTAAGCATGAAACATCTTCTAGTAAGTGTCTACAAAGTTTGTTCAAATAAAAGCCCTGGGGTCAAAACTGGCCCATCCCCAAGGGTGTCATTGTTTTTAACTATATGTGTATAGTAAAAACTTAAAAAAAATCTTCTTTTAAAAAAGCCCAATGAGCTAGAGCTTAGATGTTTAGCATGAAACATCTTCTTATGGGTGTCTACCAAGTTTGTGCAAATAAAAGCCCTTGAGTTAAATTGGCCTTGCAACGTTGGGGGGGGGGGTGGGGGTTGGGGGGCCTATATACAGGTGAGCGACCTCAGGGCCATCATGGCCCTCTTGTTTTCATAGAAATATTGAAACTGATAACTATTTAGATTGTTTTTGACTTTCATTTTAGTATATCATGTATAATAAATGACTATCAAATTTATCTATATTTGCAGAGTTTGAAGCCAGTGGATATAGCTGATGGGGTTATATATGCACTAAGTGCACCTAAACATGTACAGGTAAGATCGTTCACAATGTTAGATTATTATAACTAAGTTTTTCATGTCAATTTCCACACCAATACTCATTAAAAGAGAAGAAAACACTGGTCAGTATGTACATGTATATGCAGATTTCTTAGAAACCATTGTAATGTGGTTTTAGGTTATATTGGTTTTAGGAAAATGTGGTTTTAGGGAAATGTGGCTTTAGTGTCATGTGGTTTTAGGTAAAACAATGCATTCTGTAGAAAACACACTTCAGCCCGTAGTTTGTTGGACATGTATGCCTTTAATCTGTCCTATAGTGAACTGTTACAGATGTGTGCAAACATGTTATAGCTTGTAAGTCTAATTTTTGAAACAGGATATCAGAGTTGCATATTTTTCTTTGTATGATATTGAAATGGAATGATTTGAAAATAACACTTGATTTAAAATCAAATAAAATGGTGTCCTTTGTATGCAACTTAACTTAATTTCACTTATGTTTTACCTCCAGAATTCTAATTTCTTTTTAAGGTCCATGAAGTTAAGATTAATCCAACAGAGCAGCCTTGAGATGGAATATAAAGTGTTTAAGCTTATTGTAATGGTGTGTTTTGTATAAATTCATAATTGAATCATTATCATAATATTATACAATCATAAAATTTTTTTTTTTCTTTATACATTTATTTTATTCCCTTTATAGACTATAACAGATATATTTACACGTATAAATTCATAATTAAATCATTATCATAATATTATACAATCACAAAATTGTTTTTTTTTCTTTATACATTTATTGTATTCCCTTTATAGACTATAACAGATATATTTACACGTATAAATTCATAATTAAATCATTATCATAATATTATACAATCACAAAATTGTTTTTTTTTCTTTATACATTTATTGTATTCTCTTTATAGACTATAACAGATATATTTACACGTATAAATTCATAATTAAATCATTATCATAATATTATACAATCACAAAATTGTTTTTTTTCTTTATACATTTATTGTATTCCCTTTATAGACTATAACAGATATATTTACACGTATAAATTCATAATTAAATCATTTTCATACTATTTATACAATCACAGAACTGTTTTATTCTTTATACATTTATTGTATTACCTTTATAGACTATAACATATATATTTACACGTATAAATTCAGTATTAAATCATTGTCATTCAATTTATACAATCACAGAATTGTTTTCTTCTATTTATTATGTTACCTTAAAGACTATAACATATAATTATTACATGTATAATATCTGCAAATGTTAAGAATTCATTAAAAACTTTAAAACGTAGTTTCTTTCTTTATATCAATAGTGTATGTAAGCGTAGTTTCTTTCTTTATATCAATAGTGTATGTAAGACATATAAGAAATGTGTTTTCCTATATACTAGTAAGTCTGTATAAACTAAGCGAAATACATAACAATTAATTTTCAAATAAATCGAAGTTCAAAATGAAAATACCATAGAAACTAATGCGATATACTTATGAATCTAATCACATGTGAAGTAGGTGTAATTTTGCTGTTTTTAAATGTTGTTTTTAATGCTTCTGAGGGATCACTTTGTTTCCAGATAATTATATTGATAATGAACATATATTTGGAATTTGAAGTAAATCCATAGACAAATCAGAAAGTTGTAGAATAAATAAGAAACAATGAAAGTTAAGGGGGAGATAATTCTGGAAATATAGAAGCAATATTTATAAACCTTATCATATCATTATAATTAAATCCTTTAAGAAATGAATAAGTCTGGGTGAAAAATAATAATTTCTAAAAAAAAAATCTAAGTTAAAGGGGGACATAATTTTGGAAATAGTCAAGCTAAAGTCAAACATGATTTGAGTGATAATAAGGAACATATATTTGCAGTTTGAAGTAGATACCCTAAGAAAGATAACCTAAGAAAGAAAGAAGTAATAGAAGACAAACAACATTTTTTTATGAAAATTCTAAAATCAAGGATGATAATTCTGCTATATTGGTGCTAGAATTATGAACCCTGCCACATACGATGCGGGTGGTGATAAGAATGATAGAAAACAAACAACGTTTTTTCATGAAATTATAATTAACTTAAGGATGACAGTTCTAAAAATATAGGTGCTAGAATTATGAACCTCAAAACATGTGATGTTTGTGATGGTAAGAAACACATTTGTAGCTTGAAGTAGATACATTGAGAAATAAAGAAGTTATTATTTATAGAAAAAAACCTATAAGTTAAAGGGGGTAATTCTGAAAATGTTTGTGCTAGAGTTGTGAACCTTGTCACATATGATGTGTTTGATAATCAGAAACATATATTTGAACTTTAATAAAGAAGTTATAATGAGAATGTTTTTAACAGAAATCTGAACGCGGTCGCCGACGCTTGGTGAGTAGGACAGCTGTTTAGAAATAAAAAGATGCTAGTTAATCTCCAGACTGTCATCTACCTATAAATAGTTTCATAAAAAATATATTTTTCAATATTTTTTTTGCGTTATCGCGGGATTTACAATGCTGAATTTGCCAAATTTTAAGTTTATTTAATTATTGCCATCACAACCAAATTTTTAATAACGAAGACAAAAAAAAACCCAAAAAACATGCATAATCTCTAGCCTGCCATCTATACGAGGGGTGTCCCAGAATTACGTGGACTTTTGCTGTAACTCAAAAACTACTGAAAATAAAAACAAACAAAATTAACATGAACAAAATGCAACTTTATTGCATTAGTACAAAAAATTTCAAAGTTGTTCGGCAACTGGATCAGTGTCTGTGGGCAGGGTAATGAGACGAGGGGTAGCGGGTGCGGGGCAGTCCATTCCGACGTTACAACGTCATTCCGGTGGCGTCGCTAGTTGTTAATAAAGGATTTAGCTCAATACAGGATTGGAGCAGTACCTCTGGACGCTTGCAGAAATCATGATCACAAAATAGACAAATATCGTTTTTTTCGCCGATTTTTATATTTTTCCTTCATTATCGTACTTAATTCGGTGTGAAAAGATAATTTAGACCTGTTTAAGTTCATTCCGTTGGGTAAAAAGGCGAGATTTTAGCATTTTATCATTCAAGCGCCTTGTCCGGTATATACCGGAATACGGTATTTAGTGTGGTGCTCCAATCCTTTTTTTAGTCACAGCCGTTAATAAATGCGTGGCGTCGAATGTCAGTTTTTCTCAACATAGTCGCCGCCTTACTCAATACACCTATGGCGTCGATATATCCACTGGTCGTACACCGCCCTGTACCACTCCTGGTCGAAATCAGCCACCACTTTCTGCGTTGCGAACGAGAGTTCCTGGAAGGAATCGAACTTCCGTCCCTTAAGTGCCGACTTCACAGTTGGAAATACCCGGAAGTCCATCGGCGCCATATCCGGCGAGTAGGGTGCGTGCTCCAGAATCTGAAAATCCAGAAGACTGATCTCCAGCCTGGTGAATGCTGCGTTATGGCTTGGCGCGTTATCCTGGTGCAGCAACACCTGATCCAAGGTTCGGCCGCTTCCGACGCAAGGAACGCACAAAACATCGCCGTAACACCTGACAAATAGACAATTTATCTAGATCTACTAAGTAAGCGATATTGTACATATACTTAATCCGCAAATAATAATAATAATAACACGTCCCGCACAGTGTAACGCCTGTCCCAATCTATGACGTCCATGACTTCCTTAATTGACGCCGCAGTCAACGTTGACTTTCTCCCACGACCCTTGTCCTCTTCAATGTCCTCCGGGCCGTCTCGAAATTTTAAACGAACGTTCATATGACGTCACTGCATATGCTTACGACGTCGCGCCATTTTTTACGTATAAATACGCAAGATATACGAAAGTAAAGACAACTTATTAATACAAAATATTGGACTGCCCCGCCCTGCACATACTGCGTTACTATAGCAACGTAAAATATAGAAAAGCAATGTTAGAAATTTAAAAATGATGGACATATTCATTAAGGATATGTTAAAGGTATTGTGTACAAATTTGCTAAAAAATGCATTAAAAAATAAAAAAGTTATAGCAAAAGTCCACGTAATTCTGGGACACCCCTCGTATATAGAGAATAATAGGTTGGTGCCGTGGATGGAGAAAGTTTATCTGGCGAGGCGGAGGAATTTATTGGGTGAGCCGAAGGCGAACCCAATAAATTCCGGAGCAGAGCCAGATAAACTTTCTCCATCCACGGCACCAATCTATTATTCTATTTATCCTGTCACCGTTTTATTTAAAGAATTTTATTAGGCAAACTACCTTTAATCATACTATCGGAAATGTTTCTATATAAACAAAGAAGGCCCGATGCGTGCTTTATTCTACAACAATGCACTCGCCGTTCTTATTATCTCCCCGTGTATTTTTACATTGAGGGCGCCATTTTGTTTGAAAAATGTGATAAATAAAAACAATTTTTTGTCGAATTTTGTTGTGAAAACTATCTGGAATGAAAGAAAATGGTCTAACTAAGAAAATGAATTCGAACACCAATATCTTTTATTCAGTCGTTAACGCTGTATAGACGTTTAAAGTATTGTTTACGTGACGTCACAATGTAGCGCCAAACAGCACGTGCAAAACAATCAAATCGAGTACGCTATTTTAATGTCGCAAACGAGTTAAGTTTTACATTTATTTCACTTTTAATAATTTTTATTTCGCTTGAAAAATTATAGAGTGAAATAAAATAAACAAACAAAGTTTTACCAACGTTTCCAAAATTCGTTATTCTACACACAGAAGATTTAACGACAGTTTTTATATTTTTCTTGAAAAGAGGTCCGGCAACATGCATACCACGTGATCAAGTGCCGTAGATCAGTAAAAATATACGGCACCTTGTTATCGGGCCGAAATTGATACAAGTGACAGGATAAAAAAATATTGTGAGTGCTTTTTGTGTTATCACGTGGCATAATCGAGGTTCTTTACAGTAATATAAGGCACAAGCGCTAAGCCAATGTATTAAATATGGTCTGGAGATTGCCGCGTGGCGTGGTTCTTTTTTTGGACTGGATTTATTCTTTCTTGAAATTGAGTAAAAAACAATCGTAGAAAAAAAAAGCAAATGATGAGGACAACCGACCCAACACTATTTTGTGATTCCGTTGAGGATTGAAAATTTTATTAGTTTGAACGTTCTTCTTTACAGTAATGTAAGGCACAAAGTTCTAGGCCGTAGCATGTTCTTTGTGTGTGTGTGCGTGTGCGTGTGGGTTTTTTTTTTGACAGGCGATTTCTTCCTTTTCTGTTTAAAGAGAACATTTTTTGTTTAAAAAAAAACACCATTTTCTAATGACAACCGTTCAAACTCCCTTTGCGTGGTTCCGTTGAGGACTGGAAATTATTCTTTCTTAATATCAAGACTAGTGAGAAAAAAATCGTAAATAACATATCTAGAGGCCTACCGATCAATCACTACTTGTGTGATTTCGTTCCAGATTGGAAATTGTATTAGTTAGGAGATTCTTTTTTACAGTAATATAAACCACAAAACGCTAGGCCAAGGAATAGGGCCTACTTTCCGCGTGGCTTGGTCCGGATGCGAGATTGATCTTTCTTAATATTAAGTGAAAAAAATCGTAAATAACACAATATTCAGAGGCCAGCAGATCAAACTCTGTTTTTGTGATACTGTTCCAGATTGAAAATTGTATTATATTAGTTTGGCGGTTTTTCTTTACAGTAATATAAAGCACAAAAGCAAATGGCTAAGAGATTTCCGCATTGGCTTGGTCATTTTTTTGGGCCGGCGATTTGTTCTTTTTCTATATAAAGTGTACACTATTTGGTAAGAATCACCATTTTCTTATGTCAACCGTTAAAAACCATTTGTGTGATTCAATTGTGGATTAGAAATTGTATTAGTTTGCAATTTCTTCTTTTCAGCAATATAAGACACAAAGGTCTAGGCCGGGGAATATTGCGTGGCATGGTCGTTCTTTGGACCGGCGATTTGTGCCATGTACGATAAGTCATATTAAAATGAACGCTACATACTTAAACAAGAACTGTCGGAAGACAGTAACACTCGACTATTAGAAAAAGTTGTCACAAAGGTGTTTCATTGAGTATAATAATGCTTACCTATATTAATGGAAAAAAAAATATCCGAAAAGGTACAAAGGCTTGTTATTAAGATGTTTTATCGAGTAAATCACTGCTTTGTTATAATGAATGCATAAAATTTCCCAAAAAAGACACAAACCCTTCAGTAGTTATGGAGATATCAGCTTACAAGCAAAACCTTTACCAAGAATTTCTAAGCCGAAAAGGGGGCATAATTATGAAAAAAAAAACAAATCAAGAGTTATAGGACTTGTGCAAATCATGTAAGATAATCACAGAGAACAAGTGTATGAAGTTTCAATCCATTCCCTTCAGTAGTTATGGAGATACCAGCTTACACGCAAAAACTTAACCAAGGATTTCTAAGTCGAAAAAATGGGCATAATTATGCAAAAAAGCAAACCATAGTTATGGGGCTTGTGCCAATCATGTTAGATAATCACAGAGAACAAGTGTGTGAAGCTTCAATTCATTCTCTTCAGTAGTTATGGAGATACCAGCTTACACGCAAAAACTTAACCAAGAAAGTAGAAAAAGGGGCATAATTATGCAAAAAAGCAAATCAGAGTTATGGGACTTGTGCAAATCATGTTAGATAATCAGAGAATACGTGTGTGAAGTTTCAATCCATTCCCTTCAGTAGTAATGGAGATACCAGCTTACACGCAAAAACTTATCCAATAATTTTTAAGTCGAAAAAGGGGCATAATTATGCAAAAAAAGCAAAACAATGTTATGGGGCTTGTGCCAATCATGTAGTATGGGGCTTGTGCCAATCATGTTAGATAATCACAGAGAACAAGTGTGTGAAGTTTCAATTCATTCTCTTCAGTAGTTATGGAGATACTTGCTCACAGGCAAAAACTTAACAACAGGGACGCCAACGACTGCATTATTCTGCGAATAGTCTATTCTGCGAATAGTCGACAATCGATTTTATGACATTGGAAAGTCTTTTTTACACCAATATCTATGGCCAAAGAAAAATTGAACTGCGAGGTACCGGTAAAGTTGCGATTTTTTTTATAGATATATTAACTGTATACATGTCCGTAAAAAACACCATTATTTGGAGCCAAATGTTAAACCAACATTTTTACGATTTCGATGCAGATTTTGCAACTGCATACGCATCGAGGTTCTTCTTTACAGCAATATAGGGCACAAAGCTCTAACCCCCAAATTTTTTTTTCTCAATCCGTGACTTATTCTTCCTGTATATAAAGTGTATAAATGTTCGTAAAAATGACCATTTTCTGATGTCAATCGTTAAAACAGCATTTATGTGATTCCGTTGCGGATTAAAAATCATATTATTTTTTAGGTTCTTCTTTATTGCACGAATCTCTAGTCCAAGGAATAAGGCCTCGAGATTTCCTTGTGGTACTGTCACTTTTTTGACCGGCGATTTGTTCTTTCCTTATATTATAAGGTGAAAAACAATTCGTAAAAAAAACCCCCAAAATATTCCGAGATCTAGGAGATTCTTCTGCACAAAGCTCTTAGCCAAGGAATATGACCCAGAGATATCCGCTTGGCATTGTCGTTTTTTTACCAGCGATTTGTTCTTTCTTCATATTAAGTGAAAAAAATATCGTAAATAAAACATCATATTCTGGACTACCGACCCAACACTATTTAATTCCGTTGAGGATTGGAAATGAGGTTCTTATTTACAGTAAGATAAGACACAAAGGTCTAGTCCATGGAATATGACCTCTAGATTTCCGCATGGCATGGTCATTTTTTGTTAAGTGGGGAAAAAAATCTTAAAAGGCCTACCAATCGAACACTATTTGTGTGTTTCCTTTCAAGATTGGAAATTGTATTGAGAGATTCTTCTTTACAGCAATACAAGGCCCAAAGCTCTAGACATAGGAATATGGCCTTGAGAGGCATGCTTGTTTTTTGAACGGACAATTTGTTCTTTTTCCTCTATAGTGTAAGAAACATCATTTTCTAGACTAATGCCAACCCTGTCTAATGCCAACCGTTAAAACACCATTTGTGTTAAACCAGTAGAGGACTAATAACTTTAGTGACCACAAAAAAGTTTATTTAAATCATTTTTGTGGAGACCCACAAGACACAAACACATGGTAAATATAGATCTAAGCTCTAGTTATTGCAGTACTTTACAATTACATACATAGATTTAGATTTATTTCCCTTTTATTAAGTCTTTATAAACTAAGTCTTCCCCAGGACAGGGCTAATTTTTACCCCAAGGATATGATTTAAGGTGAGGTAAAAAATGATTAGGCCATAGAAATATACAAAAAACAATTAAGACATGCTTTATAACTTCATATACACATCAGCATTTATTCAATACTGCATGTAGAATAAAACAACAGATAAACTTCAAAACATGTGTGTAAAACTACCTTGTTTTACAGATACACCATTATATACACATTATTCTATATTAGTTAAGTTTATAAGATGTCAAATGTTACATCTATATTACAACACACATATCACAGATCATAAAAAATTAAACTATCTCATGTTCTCATCCAATGTTTAAAGATCCTGTAACTCTATTTTTTCTATGGTTTTATATAATAAATATGACGCTCAAATGAAGATTTAAAAATATTGTAAGTTCCAAAAAGCATTATTTGTAAAGATATTACTTTATTAACAATTCGTGTAAATAAAGGGAGGTAATTAGAAAGTTATTTTCTTTAAAGTCTAAGTCAAATTTTTCACTAAGAAATGAATGCAGACATTCTAATGATTATTTTTAATGCAAATAAACAATTGCAGCACATATTTAACATATTCTTGGATGTTTGGATTGTTTTAGAAGAATTATTATATACATAAATAAAATGTCACTTAAGTGTTTTTAATCCTTAATTGCAACATACAGGATGTTAAACATCAAAAAATTACATCTCATTATTGTAAGATTCGTATCTTCCTGGTTGTTTATAAACCAGAAACTTATCTGTTGTAAGTGATTTATAAGCAGCTTATTTAATTAAGTAAATGAATTAATAAATCAAAACAAATGTTAGATAACAAAATAAGAGCTATCAGTAAGACAATACATTTCACTATTCGTAGGGCTTGATAGTAAAACAAGAGCCAAGATAATGTAGGAATTCACAGAGGAAGATTTCAATAAAACAATATAACATATTCATGACTTGGTAACTGGCCTTCAATTATAATCACAGTTATATGCTTGATATCTACAGAGATTTGAAGATTGAATTTATATGCAAAACCAGACATTTTCAAAGTAAAGTTCACAAAGGTTCATTATTCAGTCATAGTCAATGCCAGAGGTATGGGTCTTGGAAAGTGACATTCAATTATGATTGAAAGCAAAATATTAATCAAATAGCATTGATAATGAAAGGTCTTGGATGCAATTATGTTAGCTAAATTATGAGCAAAAAATTTTAACCTATAAAATGTAGAAATATTAAATTATGTCAGAAAACATCATTTGTATATACATGTATATTATTTTTTGTGTGTAACATCTCTTTCTTCACAATTTGATATAGTTGTAAGAACAGAAACTGAGTCACATATTTACAATGTTAACTCGCAAAATAAAATCTTTACAGAAAGTAACAACCGCTCTTATTGAAATATCATACTGTGTGTTGAATCCATATATATTCAAACAAGATTCTACTACTGGCTAAAAACTACAAAATTGAATGTGTACATAATTTGTTTTTGTATAAACAATAGAAGCAACATAAATCTACAATATTACAGATTAACAAGTAATACATAAATGTATTTTTTATATGATTAAACGGGAGATTCAATATCAGTTATCTGAAAGTGTTACCATGCATTCATATAATATATATGTTTACACACAATTACTGTAATATTAAAGTAAGTCAGTTATAATATTAAATTTAAATTATCAATTAAGTATGTAACAAACATCTATATCTACCAGTATACATGGATATACAACAAAATAAACATTTTTTCATACATCTGATATATCATTTATACAGTCACTTGAATTCATTTTATATTATAGTTGCACTGTCCACATTTAAGTAATCAAAGATATATAATATATAAGTTTATAAGGTATATCTTGAGAAAAAAACAACACATATTTATAGGAAATTTTTAGTGTTTGAAATATAGTATGAATTTCTGACAAAGTCCAATAGATATACAAATTATAACAATAAACAATGCTTGATTTTGCATGAAAGGAAAACTTCTTTTTTGTAATCATTAGGTATATTTATGAATACAGACAGTATTGTTAAGCTGGGTGGTCCTACCAATTGAAAAACGTAAATAAGTTAACCATTTTATTGTATATTCTTGTCAAAATACAAACATGTATGTTTGTTCTTTAAAACCATTAATACTGTATTTCAAGTTGAAATTCTTATTATGTGATATCATTTCAAGAAATTAAAATAAGAGAAGTTTGAGAAAATACACATTTGTTTGCATTCAATCAATAAAAGCATGAATGTTTACTGACACTTCACTATTTATTTGATACCATTATCAAAGCCAGAACACAATAATGAACAAAAATAATTAAAAGACACACACAATGATGCATACATATCTTTTTTCTTTTGCCATGATATCTTTTGAGTTATTATAAGTGTTCTACATTTAACAAAAATGATTTTACATTAGAGATAAGCTTCAGAATTTGAAAGAAATTGTTAAGTTTATTCAGCATTATAAGAAACTTTTTCACAAGTTAATAAAGAAGATTGTATTTGCATAAAGTATATACCAATCAAAATTTATTTATGCAATGGACATTCCCTGAATATTAATCTCTAATGCTGAACATACAATCTGACAAATGTCTGTATAACAAAATAAAATTTGATTTTTTATTTCAAATTGCAACCTGTACAAGTATAACTCTAAACAGTTTGCTTTACTGCATAATTTTCCACAAGTACTTGAGAATGTGATTCTTATCCAAAAACTGCTCCACAATTTGGACAGCGCCTTTCCTTCATTGCTAAACAACACAAAATTCCAATTGGAAAGAACAAAATTGCACAACAAACACCAAGGCATGTAAAGTCATCTTCCAAAACACCAATCTGCAAATAAAACAAGATTGCATTTTAGAAAATGCTATGCCACCGCATTAATACAACACTAAATAGAAGTGTAGGAACAAATACTGTTGAAGAACGGGTCTTTTATTAACCTCGTATATTATTGTCTGGATGATTATATTACTATAAACTGCTAGCATTCCCTTGCAGAAAGATAAGCAGACGACAGCCTAATTTCATGACTACATCAAAGGACAACACAGAAAGACACTTTTGTCAAAATCTAGGTCAGCTGATATCAAAGTTCTCTTTAACATCTTAATCTGTGCACATGGTTCAAATTTCATAGCTGTACATCAAAGGACAAGAAAGTAGGTCACATAATCAAAATCTAGGTCACTTGATATAAAAGTTCAATTTTACAACTAAAAACTTTGCACATGGTCAAAAATTTCATTGCTGTTCATCAAAGGACAAGAAAAGTAGGTCACTGTCCCCTTGGGCAAGGCAAAATTTTGAGCTAAGGGTTCAATTCAAAACAATCTTGATACAGTTCCACCAAACAACATTTCAAGTCAAATATCTAAGCTGTAGCTTTCTCCCCATTCAGAAAAACATTTGTTTTATTTTTCTGTTTTAATAATGTGTACTTAATGAAAATCACTGCGCCCAGGCAGGGGCCAATTTTTGACACCAGGGAAATATTTGAAAACTTTGGTAGAGGACCTACAGTTGATATTATATAGCAAACATCAAAGCTCTATGCCTTGTACCTTTAGACAAAAATAGTTTTTATTTATTTATTTTTTTTACTATATGTACATAATGAAAATCAATGAACCCGGGGTGGACCCAATTTTGACCCCAGGGATATAATTTGAAGAATGTTAGTAGAGGTTCACTTCCCAAAGTCTCATGCCATAAATTTAACCTCTAGCCTTTGTCAATTCAGAGAAGAAGATTTTTTTTAAAGTTTTTACTTTATACATATAAGGAAAAATATCGCCTCTAGGGCAGGGCAATTTTTTCACTAGGGGCATAATTAAAACAACATTAGTAGAGGACCCATAGATGATATTATATACCAAATATCAAAGCTCTAAGCCTTGTACCTTCAGACAAGAAGTTTTTTTGATTTTTCACTATATGTACATAGTGAAAATCAATGACCCCTGGGGGTGGGGCCAATTTTGACACCAGGACTATAATTTGTACAATCTTGCTAGAGGTTCACTATACAATGTTTCATGCAAAATATCTGAACTCTCGCCTTTGTAAATTTAGAGAAGATGATTTTTTAAGTTTTTACTATACACATATAAGGAAATCCTATGGCCCCCGGGGCGGGGCTAATTTTGACACTAGAGGCAAAATTTGAACAACTTTGGTAGAGTACCTATAGATGATATCATTTAATAAATATTAAAGCTCTAAGCCTTGTACCTTCAGACAAGAAGATTTTTATTCTTTTTTACTATATGTATATATTGGAAATCATTGACCCCCCTGGCAGGGGTAATTTTGACCCCAGGGCTATAATTTGAACAATCTTGCTAGAGGTTCACTACACAATATTTCACGCAAAATATCTAACCTCTAGCATTTGTCAATTGCTAGAAGAAATGTTTTTAAAGTTTTTACTGTAAGTTTTTACAATATACATATAAAGAAAACCAATGACCCCAGGGGCGGGGCCGATTTTGACCCCAAGGCTATAATTTGAACAATCTTGCTAGAGGTTCACTACACAATGCCTTATGTAAAATATCTAAGCTCTAGGCCTTTTGGGTCTTCACAAGAAGGTATTTTAAGTTTTTACTATATGTGCATATAGTGAAATTCAAGACCCCCCGGGCGGAGCCGATTTTGACCCCAGGGCTATAATTTGAACAATCTTGGTAAGGGTCTACAAGAAAATGCCTTATGCAAAATATCTAAGCTCTGGGTCTTTACAAGAAGGTATTTTCAGTTTTTACTATATGTACATATAGTGAAAATCAATGACCCCCGGGGCGGGGCCGATTTTGACCCCAGAGCTATAATTTGAACAATCTTGGTAGAGGTCTACCAGACAATGCCTTATGCAAAATATCTAAGCTCTAGGCCTTCTGGTCTTTATAAGAAGATTTTTTTAAATTTATTCTAATAATTCCTTTTGGTTGCCATGGCAACCAGATTTCTGCATGGAATGAAATTCTTTGAACAACTTTGGAAGCCCTTCACCCAAGGATCAATCCTGCCAAGTTTGGTTGAAATTGGACTAGTGGTTTTTCACAAGAAGAATTTTTTAAGTTCACTATATAATCTATATAACACACACACACACAAACAAACACACACACACACACACACAGGTGAATCGCTATATGCCACCGCATCGCAGATGCTGCGGTGGCATAAAAATGACCAATGACAAGAGCTGTAACAAATATTAGCAATAAAACCCAAATATTTAGTTACTGATTTATAGAATATATAATTATACTACTTGCATATTGTCAAAAACTGTAGTTGTTCAAACACTTTGTTTCATTTAAAATTCAAGATGACATTCACAATGTATTTTATCAGATATTGTCTGGAAATTTTCGTATTTAACATCCACACCAAATTTACCTATTTCACAATAGTATGGCATAAACATAATACCTCTAGAAAACTTGCAAAGAAAACAAACAGAATAATTGATAGTATACTCTATTTTATTTCCTGTAGTCAATGGGTAAACAAATCATCTTGATATTATGATTTAAGTTGAAAGTAATAACAGTATATCTGGTGAGCAAATTTATGCAATTAATGTTTGGTACAGAACAAGTGTAAGTATTGTGTTTACAACCCAATAAAATATTTAATATTTTCCAATCAGAATTTAAGTCAAGCAATTAGAAGAATCTTTTGGTAATACATTTGTACATATAATTATATTGTACTTGTGTTGGTGACAAGACTTTTAAAATATTAATTGTGAAGAAAACTCTCATTAAGTTATACATAAATGACTGTCTTACCCTGCATGAGGGACATCCACCTACTACAATAATCTGTGGCTGGGGCTGAACAACTATCTGAGCTTGATTCTGATAACTAGGGATCTGCTGGTACCCACCCTGGTATCCCTGGGGACCAGGATAACCCTTGCTGGGGTCATACTGTCCTGCTGGAGGGGCTGACCCCTGGGGTGCTCCATAATTTGTATAACCACCTGAAAATAAAACATTATAACTGAAGAATTGTCTTCATTCAAAAACATTCAAAGATCTATTCAAAATTGTACTTTTTAGACTTTATTTATAAATCAAAATATAATAAAGTTAATAAACTGTTCATATTTAGTTATGTTATTTGTTCTGGTGTGAAAACTGTCATCCTGTTCTACCTGCATATATTTTACAGACACTTGCTTCATCAAATTGATACTTAACTTATTAGTTTCACAAATTAAGAAGCATGACTGTTCCTTATATTTATTTATTGGTTCTTCATTCATTTGTTTAAATATAAAAGTAAAAGCAATTTCTATTTACATCAGCACATCATCAAAAGATTGAAGCATTTACAGAATATATCAAAGAAGATTTGTAGCATACTAGGATAATTCTTGATATGATCAACGTATGGCTGGGCATACATGTGCCACTGACATGTCAGGAAATGGCCCTATGTATTTTTTGTACTACATACATGTAAGTAGACTATTCATCTACTGACCTTGACCATAACGTTCTTCATTTACCACAAACAAACTCAATCCTCAGTGTCTTAAGATGGACCAAACCAAAGAAAAACAAGTTTTATCATTATATTTGACTCAATTGCAGTTACATTTATAAAACAACAATTTATAAAAGCATAACGTCAATATTTGAATACAAACAGCAGCACAACTTTATTTTGTTGTGATTATTATAATCATTTGATTATAAAAATCAAAATTTCAAATAGATGTCACGGTTCAGAACTGTTCACTGTTTAGGGCCCCAGGTTCGAGTCTCAGTCAGGCTGCACATTTTCTCACTCTGTGACATTTGGCATCCAACTTGGAGCTGTGACTACAGATCAGAGTTTAATTTACTGTTTAGGGGAGAAGATGTGTAAGTGGCCGGATAGCTCAGTCGGTAGAGCCACAGTACAGTATTCTGAGGGTCCAGGTTTTGAGTCCCAGTTAGGCAGCATATTTTCTCACCCTGTGAAATAAATACAAAAACTTTCATACCAGTGCCTACAGACTCCTGAATAAGATGGGGTTGCTGATTTGACATCGTTGGTCCCTCAATAAACTAAATTTCTCTGTAATGAAAAAATAAGTCATGTATTTGTCATTGAATTGATAAAAATGTTGATGTCTACAAACATTTTCAAGACATTTAAACTTTGCTTGATTACTACAAAAATCTCATAATGTACTTTTAAGTTTAAGCCCAAAATAATTATAACTCAGTTTATCACGTATAACCAATGTCACTTTTTTCGAACTCCATATGAATGGTTTGCAAGGCTGTTGCATTAAATTTGACATGATGATTATGTCATTTGAATTATAACAAACATACTTACATAGTGTCATGACATGATAAATGTTAGTGTTACACTATTGGCGGCTTCAATGAAAAATGATTAATTTTTTCACTTTAAAAACAGTTCTTTATTTTTGAGTAGAGGGTCACATAAAATAAATGTATTCAACTATTTGATAAATGCCATAAAGAAAAAACCTACATTCAGACAGGGCTAGGAATAGATGAACTAAGAAATAATGATGACTACTGTTTAGCTTTTGAAACTGTTAAAATGAACTTGCCTTGGAATATGAGAACTCAACTTAACTCTCTAGGCAGCAGATAGGTGTTAATTGCTGTGTTGTTTACATAATTGCTTACATGCAAACATTAAATGGAATAATCTATGATGTAATTAACATGTCCTTGCTACAATATTAACATATTTTTTCAAATTTTATTCTTCTAACATTTAAGTACCACGGAAATATGAGGCACCAGTATATGCTTTATTCTCATCGATTTGTGCCTTCTCATCGATTTGTGACCTAAATAAATGTCTGGTATAAATACTTCTGCAAGGACATACACCATCCGAAAACTACACAAGTTTTATTAGACACTCGATTTGACAATTCTATCCAAGTTTTTGAACTTTTAGATAATGAATTTATTTAACAAATGCACTTATTGAACTGTATGTATGTCTGATATTTGTTGTGCAAGTGCAATATTTCCAAATAAGAGTCACGAATCGACGAGAGAAAAGCATATACATGTATATCATATATATAACAGAACATAGGTAACATCTTTGTATCAGTATAAAGTTCAATAAGAATGGACTCACACTTAGAATTAAATTTCAGATTTATGTTTAAGGATATCAAACACATATTTTGTGTACAGTCAACACTGTTCAATGAGACAATCAGACATACACAACATTTTCAGCTGTCTGTTTCAAGAAATATTTCATTTTTATATGCATTTTAATATGAAATATGATATATTTCTATTGCCTTTATCATTCAATATTTGAAGCATGTGAAATATGTGTAACCATTGTATACCAACAGGTGACACATTGGTTAAATCAATGAAATGGAAAAAGACCTGAAGTATTCAAGAAAGTGGAAAAGAAATATGAGGCTGTAGTGAAGCAGTTCATATATTTGGCACAAAATCACAATTATTTTTCACCCATTCTTAACAGGGGTGAAAAAGAATTGTGTTTTTAGGACATATCTAAAGCTAGTCAAAATATATTGACGTGCCAAAGCTTGATTCTGAGATATTTTCGTTCTGGGGCAGAATCTCGCTTTAACGTCAAAACCAAAAGGAGACCTTTCTGTGGTGAAACGTGGATTTCGATGTTAATGTAATAATGCAGAAAATTTAAACTAAGAATCTATTCAACAATACAATTTTAAGGAATCAACAGCACAAAAAGTGCTAGACTATCAACTTAGAAGTAAGTAAACCACGTTAGTTTCATTTCACCGTCTCGTTTGTGTACCAACGCCGCCATATTGTGATGTTGCTACAGTAATGTAAGATGTACGCTAAAAATCGATATTGTTCGGTACCGTGCGTGAATGTTGTCATTTTTTTGCGTGACAAAAAAAAAATATGAAAAAACTGTTAAACAGTGCTTATTATTCTTTAATGTTGTTATTATTAATTATATTTATTGCTACATTAAAATAAATCGCCAGGAAATAAGCTTTAACTATTTTTTCTATTTGATTGAAATCTTTAAAATGATGCGGAGAAACTTTTAATTTAGACCTCTTTTTTATAAACATGTTTATCAAAAGGATAAACAAATACCGTATTTCATTAAAATTTATATTGTCACCACTCTGTAGTATTATCTATGTTAGAATAATTATGTTAGTTACAACTTGCTGCGTATTAAAATCAGCAACTCCTTGCCTAGAAAAATTTGTTTTCCAAACGTGCATTACGCTAAGAAAGATTTTTTGAATTCAAATGGTAAATTCTTGCGTTAATTTTTAATTCCTCAACAGTTTTCAGAAAAGTAAAACTCGTTACGCCGAGCGCCCATTTTTCGTTTGTCTGCGTGTACATGTACAATTTATCCTTGTAATAAAAGACTATAATCATAGCATGCCGTAATGGCCTGGATATTTGGGTGTTGTTCAAGCGATGTTCCAGAAAAGTTATTGTTCCGGTATAAAAAATATATTCAACCATGTATTTATTTTTGAAACGTTACGTGTCAACTATTCCACAACGCCGACACCGGTACGCTGACCAATATACACTTCGGAAATGTTGACACTGCGCAGTTCTGTTTCTTCCTTACTTAAATTCTTTGTGTCAACTTAAAATTTATAAGATTAAGTTTTAGATAAATTTGATTTAAAGAAAAGTATTTAAATTGGAGCCGTGATTCCTATCCGGAATCAGTTAAACAATTTTCCATGCTGACATGGTCCAAATTGTAAAGAAAAGTTATTTTTAGATTGTAATTACCCTGGTCACTATGAAGTCTTGCTGGAAAGGAGTAATGGGAGAAGAAGTTCTCGAAGAGGACTCGTGCAGTAGTCTGTGCCGTCTGGTTGCGGGTCGGAATGGCCTGTGCGTAGCGAGTAAAGTGATCTGTGATGACCAGAATGTTCTCGTACCCACCTTTAGACTTCTCCAAAGACAAATAGTCTATACAAACCAACTCCATAGGATGTGTACTCTGAAAGGGTACCAAGTGGGCTTGGGCTTTAGCTGGTGACTTCCTTCTCAGGCAGTTGGGACAAGTTTGAACCTTCCTGATGACATCCTTCTCTAGGCCCAACCAGAAAAATCTCTGTTTCACCAACCAAAGGGTTCTGTCTCTACCTTGGTGACCAACATCATCATGGAGTCCCTTCATGGCCCAGTCTCTAAAATTCTCAGGCAAAACCAGCTGAAAAAGTTGCTGTCCATCAATCTCGCATGTTCTGTAGAGTACGCCGTCTCTGATGGTAAAGGATGGTCTGTGTCTGAACAGCTTCTGTACTGCTTTAGGCTCATGGCTGAGTTGGTGTTTGTTGAGATGTATTCTGTTGTTCACAATCTCATACAACCTGGAAATAATGGGGTCTTTGGCCTGTTCTTCCTTCCAGTTGATCTTAGAAATACCCGAAGATGAAAAACTGTCAAAAGGCTCGGACTCTAACATACCATTACCCGTGAGAACATATGACTCAGCCAGGGGATGTTCATCTGTTCTGGCTCTGGCTTCCGTACACATGGCCTTGATGACATCAGTAAACATGATTTCTTCATCTTCTTGAAGGTGTGGCCTCCTGCTCAAACCATCAGCATCACTGTTCTGGTTACCTGGCTTGTAAACAGCTTTGAAGTTGTAGTTACCAAGAGCAGCTAACCATCTGTGACCAGTAGCATCTAACTTGGCAGAAGAAGAGACATATGTAAGTGGGTTGTTGTCAGTTCGGACAATAAAGGTGTTTCCATACAGGTAGTCATGAAACTTCTCTGTGATGGCCCACTTCATACACAAAAACTCCAACTTGTGTGCTGGGTAGTTCTTCTCACTGGCACGTAGACCTCTGCTGGCATAGCTAATAACACGTTCTAGGCCATCTTGTTCTTGGTATAAAACACTACCAAGACCTTCTGTCGAAGCATCTACAGAAACAATAAATGGTTTAGAAAAATCAGCATAACCAAGTACAGGTGAATGAGTTAAAAGATGAATTATAGTATCAAAAGCCTTTTGTTGCTCATCACCCCAAACCCAGGGAGTTTTACTCTTCTTGGACTTCTTGGATGCCTTGTTGGTTGGATGACCTACTAAAAGTTCATTAAGAGGCTTAGCAATTTTAGCATAATCTTTACAAAAACGCCTGTAATACCCTGTAAAACCAAGAAATGTACGTAAAGTTTTAACATTATGTGGTACTGGCCAAGTAGTCAAAGGAGCAATTTTCTCAGGATCTGTATGGATACCTTCTGAGGAAACAACATAACCTAAATAAGAAACACTTGAACTGAAAAATTCACACTTTGATGGTTTTAATTTAAGATCATGCTCTCGAAGACGCTCAAAACAAGCTTCTATTCTGTTGATATGTTCATCGAAAGTCTGCGAAAAAATCAAAACATCATCTAGAAAAATAAGACACTCTTTTAAATTTAAATCACCCATACAGGTTTCCATTAACCTTTGAAATGTGCTTGGAGCGTTGGTGAGACCAAAAGCCATTCTCTCACATTCGTAAAAACCAAGTCTTCCAACACTAAAAGCTGTCTTCTCCTTGTCTTCCTCAGCTATCTCGACTTGCCAATACCCGCTACGTAAATCTAGTTTGGAAAAATATTTGGCATTAACAAGAGAATCTAACATGTCATCTACACGAGGCAAAGTATAAGCATCTTTGATGGTTCTTCTGTTCAGTTCACGCAAATCTATACAAAATCTTAAACTGTTATCTTTCTTTCTGACCAAAACAACATTGCTACAATAAGGAGATTGACTTTCTCTAATTGCACCACAATCTAACATTTCCCGCAAATGTTGGCGAACTTCTTCATACATAGATGGGGGAATTCTCCTGTAAGGTTGTTTAAAAGGTTTATCATCAGTAAGTTTAATGTGATGTTTAACTAAGTCAGTTTTGCCAATATCTGTAAAAGATTTAGAAAAAATATTTTCCCAATTGCCTAAAATCTGCTGTGCTCTAATATACTGCTCCTCTGTCAAGTTTTCCTCATGTACCTTTATACCTAAGTCCTGTAAATTTTTAAAAGAAGAAGATACTTCTG